CTAAAAGGAAATGTTGACAAAGAAAACCCATATGAAGTATGAAGAGCAGAAGAGATGGAGACACAGATGGGTCGCGGAGGCGAGAGACCTCTTCCGTGAACACGTCGTAAATAATTGGAGTGAATTAATTAGTTGTTGAAGCTTCGACAATACAAAGTTATACTTGTAAATATTATAAAAGACGAGAGAACAATCATTTTCTTGAAATACTTCGTGAGACAGGCCTGAGGAGCTGACGTTTACCCCTACCACCACAACTAGGTGAGAACACCTAGGTGAGTACATCTATTAATCTACCAGCTACATTAATCAGTTCAATGCTGAGTGTTTCCATTAATTTGACCCCGTGCAAGACGAGACAGTCTGGTATACCACAGTAGGGAGCAGCAGCCTGCGACGCATAGGGAGACGGCCCACATGTTTCCTGTGGCCGCACTGAAGACGCCCCCACACTCCTGGAAATTATTCTCAGTGTATCCTGGTGGAGGTGTGACGTGGTGTGACACACCCGTAGCTTGGTGGAGGTGTGACGTGGTGTGACACACCCGTAGCTTGGTGGAGGTGTGACGTGGTGTGACACACCCGTAGCTTGGTGGAGGATGTGACGTGGTGTGACACACCCGTAGCTTGGTGGAGGATGTGACGTGGTGTGACACACCCGTAGCTTGGGGTGAGGGACACCGTGATGACGCACGAGCCACATGTTTGTAAACAAGACGTGAGCCAGCATGCCTGCGTATGAGCTCCTCATAACTCATCATCCCCGCCTCCTACCCGCACTCACTCACAACTACGACTTCTCAACTCATCTTATTTCAGTCGAGTCAACCAATTAAAATATACTAAAGCTCTCAATTTCCTACGCATTCCGTAAGAGATCCCCGATGGCGCAGTGGTAACACACTCGTCCGGCGTCTCGTGAGCGTTTGTGCCTGGGTTTGTATCCTGACCGGGGAGGATTGACTAGGCGCCAATCCTTAACTATACGCCTCTGTTCGCCCAGCAGTGATTGGGTACCTGGTTGTTAACGATTGGCAGGTGGTATTCCAGGGAAACTAGCGGACAAGGCTCACCACGAGCTATGGGAAGGGAAAGTGAAGGGACGACGACGTTTCGGTCCGTCCTGGGCCGAAACAAGTAGATTGTTTTGAAAAAATCGACTTGAGAATGGTCCAGGACGGACCGAAACGTCGTCGTCCCTTCATTTTCTAGTGTGTGGTCTGGTCAGCATACTTCAGCCACGTTATTGTGACTCCTCGCCTGCGCATGGGAAGGGAAAGCTCTCAGCCGGTTAACAGGAGTCAGCAGTCGTCTCTTCCAGGATACGCGTGTCAAAAAAAAAAAAAAGGATAGCAGCCGTGCGCAATCTCCAGGTCTTTTTCTCTGTTAAAGTCCATAAGGGTTTCCCCTTAATGTAAGGTGTGTGTGTGTGGCGATCTGTTGCCAGTCACCCAGATTCATAACTTTGCACATGTTATACTCAAATTCTGTCAGTTGAAATGTAACCAATCACAGGCTAGTAGGCCTCAGACGTCATGCCAGACAGAGGAGCATCAAGCCAGGCTCCAAGCAGCCTCAGTTCTCCACACAGACTCAGAGTAGAAGGACCTCGGCTAGGCAGATATATACCTTGCTGTCTCGGTCAATAAATATATACAGAAGCGACTACTGTGTCTACCTTCTACCCGAACAAGGCAAACGAATACACATGCCTCAGTTAAACTCTACTAACTACTTTTTTCGGACCATTATCTAAGTTTGTCCCAGTTATCCTGTAATTCGTTATAGTCTTTCGCCGTATGTATGTTTCTTATACTTGTTGTCGTCAGTAAACTCATGCTGAGTTAAATATATTAATGCTGAGTTATATATATTGATCTACCAGCATTTTTATGGTCTTTTCCAACAACTTGCATCGTATCTATGTTGTAATTAACGTCTATTGTCTCTCTCCACTATCTGTATATTGACTCTCTTTCAACTTTCCGATAGTTCACCTGTTTCCAATAAATTATTATGTCTTATCAAACGTCACCGCCCCCCCTCACTCAGCACACACACACACACACACACACACACACACACACACTAGGAAGTGATGTTGTGGAGGCTGGCTCCATACACAGTTTCAAGAGCCCAATATGATAGAGCCCAATAGGCTCAGGAACCTGTACACCTGTTGATTGACAGTTGAGAGGCGGGACCAAAGAGCCAGAGCTCAACCTCCGCAAACACAACTAGGTGAGTACACACACACACACACACACAAAAGACTGGTCCCAGAACTGAGAGGTATGAGCTACGAGGAAAGGCTAAGGGAGCTGAACCTCACATCCCTGGAAAATAATAGTAAGGGAAGACATGATAACCACTTAAAGAACTCTCAGGGGATTGACTGAGTGGACAAAGACAAACTCTTTAGGACGTAACTGGGCATGATACTCTCTACACACTCAACCGTACAACTAACCAGTTAACCAAGTTAACAGATGGTCAACTAACCAGTTGGTCAAGCTTCCAGTCACTTAAGAAATCACGAAATTAACTAATCAACCAACCAACCAACCAATCAATCAGCTTGACAATTAACATGCCGGTCAGCCAAAAAGCCGGTTAACTAATCAACCAGTCAGTCAACCATCTATCAAATCAGTCACACAGCCAGTCAGTCATTAAACCTCCCTTGTCTTAAACTCCTGAAACCCTCCCTTAATATTTTCTTTCATTCTCCCTTTATCCTTTTTTTCCTTCATTCATTCCCTCTCTCTGTCTCTGTCTGTCTGTCTGTCTGTCTGTCTGTCTGTCTCTCTGTCTCTGTCTCTGTCTCTCTCTCTCTCTCTCTCTCTCTCTCTCTCTCTCTCTCTCTCTCTCTCTCTCTCTCTCTCTCTCTCTCTCTCTCTCTCTCTCCCCCCCCCTCCCTTGTATATTGGCTTAAGACCGAGTCTCTGCCCTTATCATCAAATGCTTTATTTTTACCCCCTTCTATATATCCTATCTCTCCTCTTCTTGTTACCCTCTATTTATGTTCCCTTCTCCCTCCTCGTGCTCTTCGTCTCCTCTCATTCTTCGCTCTCCATCTGCCTGCTCCTCGTGCCTCCACAACTGCGTCACGGCGCTGCAGGGGGCGGCCTCCGGGAGGTGTGTGTCTCTGTGAGTCGCTCCGGGGTGTCCTCCCATGGACAAGTGTGCTAATTTAGCTTGAGACCAACTGCTTTCCAATTATCTGAGTGGCGTGTTTAGCTTGTGTCTGGACGATGGTTGGTGAATGTCACACACGTGGTGAGCCTCGTCCTTGTCTACCTGTCTACCAGTGTCTACCGGCGAGTGAGCTCTAGCTCCTAATGCCCCGTCTCCTGGTCTTCATCTACCTGTTGGTTTATAATTTGATTATTCCAATGTTCGAATTCCTTGTCGAGTCTGGCTGTAATGTTATGGTTGGAGGTGGCTTCCACAATTTCATCTTTCAATACACTCCACTTGTTCATCAACCGTACAATTGTTGTTGTTGTTAAAGATTCGATACCTGGAACAAAAAGTTCCAAGTAGCACGGGCTATGGTGAGCCCGTAGTGCCTTAACCGTACAAGGTACGAGTCTTTCCTTACAGTTCTTTGACTCATTTGTGTTATCAGGTTCCAATAATGTTATCTTGTTCTACTTTCTTTCACGTTAAAGAGGCTCTCATTGTTGACCTTTTCTATTCCCCGCAGTATCATCTATGTTGTGATCATATCCCAGCTGTCTCTTCTGTCCTCGAAGGTTGTGAAACAGAGTTCCATTAGCCAATCCTCACGGCTTAGCCCCTCTTATCCCTGGCACCAATCTTGTCGCAGACATCTCTACTTCTTTCAGTTTTAGTTGTATGCTTCACTAGGTGTGGATTCCATGCCGGTGCTGCATATTCCAGTGTTGGTCTAACAAACGTTGTGTACATGGCCTTGAAGGATAAATTATAAACAACAGCGAGCTAATCTTTTTCACGTCTTATTTAATCCTGTGATAGAACTCAAGTCAAGTTTGTCAGGCACAATTTTATCTTTTTAAGCCCATGTTGACCTTCCGGTAGATGTTTGGTCCTCTCGAGGCATTCAACCATTCTCAGCCCCATTACTTTGTCCAACATTGTGCACAAAATACTGTACTTGTTAGTGGCATTGATCTCTAACGTATGTCACAAAACGAAACAATCTCCAGACAGCAGCTATGTTGCTTACTGGTTGAAAGAACAAAGTTTGAAACTAAAACTTAAATAATAGAGGAGCATGATGGTGGGTTTGGTAAGGCGGTCACGATCACCGCCGCTGTGGCCACGCTCATTTTCTCCGGTAATTATCGTTTGTATAACTTTTTATTTGTCGAGTTTATGAAGTGTGTTGTTTACCTGGGTTGTGGTGTCAATGGCTGGGTACTGACTGTATTAATTGTTGGTAGGGTTGTTGTTGACATCTTGTAGTTGCTTATCGAGTGTTTTGACCGGTTATTTGCCAGGTATTTCCGGTGATGAGTTACTTGTCGCGCGCCGGTTCCTCTTCTTTATGCTACGCGCAGCTTATGTGGTGTTGATACGGAGCGCAGGTACCCATGGAATGCGCCCTATACACTCTGCGCGACGGCGCTGATCATTTAGATGATGTGGTGTAAAGTTTGTCGCGATCGTTGGTCTTTAGTGGCGAGGAAGACCGGAGGATCGGATGCGTCCAGCTTCCCGGTTTCGGGAAATGATGAGAAGGGATGAGATCCCGTTAGTCGCGCTCGGTGACTTGCGGAAAATATTGTTGTGGTCGGTTATTTTCCAAGAGTTTGTCGTGATCAATTATCTTGCGGGAGTTTGTTGTGGGATTTACTATTGTCAGTTATTTTCAGAAGGTATGTTGTGGTCGGTTACTTTCGGAAGGTATGTTGTGATCGGTTAGCTTCCGAAGGTATGTTATGATCGGTTGCCTTCGGAAGTTATGTTGTGGTCGGTTACTTTCCAAGGGTTTACTGTGGTCTGTTACTCACCTGAAAGAAGATATCGTCCACCAGGCTGGCGTCGATCATCGCGCTATACTCTGGACTCTTCAGTGTCTTCTGGTATTTCTGAAAAGGAAAGTATGCGATGTTATTAAATGATTGTACCGTCGGGACATCAACTTCGGCTGCGAGGACTCTCTTGATGCTCACAAATACAATAAACATCGTGAGAGTTCCGTTGAGGATAAATATTACTGATTACATTTGTCCATAATTATTATAAAGGAAACAATAAGAGCTGTAAAAAATATGAAAAGAACATATTGGTTAAATTAGTTCAAGGAGGAGGCAGCAAAAATGGAAATGGAATTATTCATATATTTATATGAATTTATATATTGTATATATCCTACTAAAATGCAAGAACTGTACTTATAGTAACCATGTGGTGGAGAGTACAAAATGTAGTGATGGACCAATAAAAGCTGACTTTTGTATTACTGAATTTAAACAAGCAGAAAACTTTTATAAACTAAATATAAGACCTATGCCAGTTAGCACTGCAGAGCAGCATCCTGCACGGCCTCTCCTACCGCTCAAGGGTCATCCTAAATATGAGCGGGCAGGTGTGTCCTTGGTGGCGTACACTTGATCAAACAAACAGGTAAGGGTAGAGGTCAGGTAAAGGGCAAGGAGGTGCGTGAAACAACGTTGGGTTAGTGTGGGGCGGCGTGTGACCCCTGGTGTGACCCCTGTGTGACCCCTGGTGTGACCCCTGTGTGACCCCTGGTGTGACCCCTGTGTGACCCCTGGTGTGACCCCTGGTGTGACGCCCCAGGTGTGACCCCTGTGTGACCCCTGGTGTGACCCCTGTGTGACCCCTGGTGTGACCCCTGTGTGACCCCTGGTGTGACCCCTGTGTGACCCCTGGTGTGACCCCTGGTGTGACGCCCCAGGTGTGACCCCTGGTGTGACCCTGTGGTGTGATCATCAAGTGTGCACACACATGGTGCAGGTCAACACCGTCTACAAGACTCTTGCCCCTTCACCTTTCAACACGGAGGCCTGACCCTTGCCGCCTTACCTGGGCCCTACTGCATCCGCGTCTCTCCAATAATTGAAGGTGCAAAAGCAAGTGTAGAAGTGTTGAAGATCGTGGTTGTCTAAGGCATTGTAGAAATGTGGGAAATATCTGTCTGTCCAAGGTTGATAACCTGACATGTGGGGCGGCTGGCCTCACCCAACTTTGCAGGGTGAATGGCCTGGGGTACGGGATGGACATAAGCTGGTCGAGGTCTTTACCTTGAGGTGTTTGGGGGGCTTAGCGTCCCCGCGGCCCGGTCGTCGACCAGGCCTTTTCGTTGCTGGACTGGTCAACCAGGCTGTTGGACGCGGCTTTTCGCAGCCTGACATATGAGTCACAGCCTGGTTGATCAGGTATCCTTTGGAGGTGCTTATCGAGTTAGTTCTCTCTTGAACACTGTGAGGGGTCGGCCAGTTATGTCCCTTATGTGTAGTGGAAGCGTGTTGAATAGTCTTGGGCCTCTGATGTTGATAGAGTTCTCTCTCAGAGTACCTGTTGCACCTCTGCTTTTCAACAGGGGTATTCTGCACATCCTGCCATGCCTTCTGGTCTCATGTGGTGTTATTTCTGCGTGCAGGTTTGGGACCAGCCCCTCTACTATTTTCCACGTGTAAATTATTATGTATCTCTCCCGCCTGCGCTCAAGAGAATACAGATTTAGGCATTTTAGTGGTCCCAGTAGTTTAGGTGTTTTACTGACTAGATTCTAGCAGTGAAAGATCTCTGCACGCTCTCCAGGTCAGCAATTTCTCCAGCTTTGAAAGGGGTTGTCATTGTGCAGCAGTACTCCACTCTAGAGATCACTAGCGTCTTGAAGAGTATCATCATTGGTACAGCTTGAAAAGTTCTTATCAATCCTGTCATTTTTCTTACAGTTGTGACGGCTACTTTATTGTGTTCTTTAAATGTAAAGTCTTCCGACATGAGTACACCCAGATCCTCTGCATTGTTTTTTCGTTTTATGTTATGATTTGACTGAGTTTTGTACATGATTTCTGTTTTTATATTTTCATTTTTTTCCATAGCACATGAGCTGGAACTTATCTTCATTAAATACCATATTATTTTCTATAACCCATTGAAAGACCTGATTTATATCTGACTGGAGGTTCGTTGTGCTCTTTATGTTGTCTACTCTCATATTAGGTCGGTCATATTGGACCTATAAGAGGGAGTTGGACCCCAGTCGTAACCCCTCCCCACCCTCACGTAATGAGTGAAAGATGGTTGGCTGAGTCCCTAGATTTCGTCACTAAAAACTATGACCCGATATCATGCCTCTATATGACTAACCATCCTGTGTGATAGGAAATGTATATGTTTATCTCTCAGAATGTTTGGTAATATGTTTATTGCTTGTGATGTGTGTCTATGTATGTATTAACACGATGTACTGATCGGGGTGAGAATAGCTTGAGCTACCTCATCCCTTTGTGTGTATTTTACCTCAATAAACTTATTTCAATTTCTATTTCAAATCCTGTGTGATGGGGATTTTTTAGCATCACCTAGTTAGCTTTTTTGACACACTGTACTCTACTTCATATAGTCTAGGGCAGCTGCACTAATGCAGATGTGCCTCATGTATTAATAAAAAATGTGTTAATATAAAAAAGTGTGTATTTAGTATTACATTTTATGAGACAGAGGAGAAAGGGGTAAGGTTGTGAGAGAGGGTAAGAGAGAAGGGGAGACAGGTGAAGAGGTAAGAGAGGGGAAGAGTGGGAGAGATGGAAGGAGACGGGGAGAGGACATGAGAGGAGAGGGAAAGACAGATAGGGGAGATGGGGTATAGGGAAACAGAGATGAAAGAGGGATGAGATAGGGAGAGAGGGGAATAGGAAATGTGAAGGAGAGAGAAAGACCCGGGCGCCTCCGGCCCCTCCCCCCCCCCCTCTCCCCCAGTCAAAATAATGGCCAAGTGAAACATGGCGAGGAGACCCCTAAGACTACACGCAACACAATAATACGTCCAGGGGAACAAATCCACAAGGGCAGTGACGAGGATTCGAACCTGCGTCTGGGAGCATCCCAGACACTGCCTTAATCGACTGAGCTACGACAGGGTTAAAAGGCAGATTAAGGCAGTGTCTGGGATGCTCCCAGACGCAGGTTCGAATCCTCGTCACTGCCCTTGTGGATTTGTTCATTTGATGCATCACGTTAGTGTGATCTCTGTGTGTGAATACGTCCAGGGATTGCAATTACTTTATTCACTCTCGTGTTCTTGAAGATATCATCATATAGCACCCAAAATTTTCCGGTGCAGACGACTTATCACATGCCTCTGTATGACTAACCATCCTGCGAGATGGGGACTTTTTTTTAGCACCACGTAGCTAGCTTTCTGACACACCCTGTACTCCCCATCATATAGACTAGGGCAGCTGCACAAATGCAGATGTACCTAATGTACTAATAAAAAAAAGTCCAGGACAGACTCTGGGTGCATTATGAGGATGTCCCCAAGAACACGAGGGTGAATAAAGTGGTTACAAAGCTCCAGGTACCTCATGCCAACGGGTTTGATAACTGGGCATTCGGTGATGTAGTGTGCAAGATCATGCCCCATTGCACCTGGAGTGCTCAGGATTGAGAGATCCATCACCTGTAGCAGGTGGCTACAGGTGACGGATCTCCCCCCCCCCAAAAAAAAAAAAATTATATATATATATATATATATATATATATATATATATATATATATATATATATATATATATATATATATATATGTGTGTGTGTGTGTGTGTGTGTGTGTGTGTGTGTGTGTGTGTGTGTAAATCACGAAAATTAACCCATGATGAAAAATGTGACAGTGTCAGACCACGGAGGAAGAATTGAAACAGGATCTCCTAAAGTACTTTCGTATATTAATACATCTTCAGAAGGAATGATTTACAAGTATTGGACATATATATATAGGCAGGAGAAAGAGGTGAAGTGAAGTGAGGTACAATGAAAAATGAATGGGAATTAGGTGGATATAAATAAGAACTGCAGAAGGCCTATTGGCCCATACGAGGCTCTCATTTATACCCACTAATGATTTATGGGCCCATAGAAGCCTGTGGTTTCTATGGGCCTCATAGAATTGCCTACATACTGAGATCTTTGGGGCTGACAGTCCCCAAGTGGGCATGTGAAGACATAGACGACGTTGGTTTCTTTCAAGGTGTTCTGTTTGGTGTCTGGAGAGTTCTTCTTGAGTAGGTTGGCCGTTTTCTTGTTTTTGGAGTAAATTGTCAATTGTATCTTCTGATTTTTGTCTGTAGGGATAACGTTCCTATTAATATCTTTCAAGACACTTTCCTCCATTTTATGAGCCGTCGAAAAGAAGTTCCTGTAAAACAGTGTAATAGGGGGTACAGGTGTTGTGTTAGTTGACTCTTCAGAGGTTGCATGGCGTTTCACCTTTCTTTTAATGACGTCTTCAACATAACCGTTAGAGAAGCCATTGTTGACTAGGACCTGCCTTACCCTACAGAGTTGTTCATCGCCCTGCTTCCAACCAGAGCTGTGAGTGAGAGCCCGGTCGACGTAAGCGTTGACAACACTCCTCTTGTACCTGTCTGGGCAGTCACTATTGGCATTAAGGCACATTCCTATGTTCGTTTCCTTAGTGTAGACTGCAGTGTGGAAGCCTCCATTCCTTTCAGTGACTGTTACATCTAGAAAGGGCAGCTTCCCATCATTCTCCAACTCGTAAGTGAACCTTAACATGTTAACATCGGTGTATGAGGATGACTACCAGGTACAGTATGAGGAGGACTACCAGGTACAGTATGAGGTGGACTCACCGTGAGGATAAAGTTGAGGTTGTTGACGTAGTTCCTCTCTGTGTCGTGTAGTTCACCAACCACGTGAGCCCGCGTGTCCTGTGGGAGAGAGAAGCTGTCACTATGGTGTGTGGATCATGGTGACGGAGGGACAGTACAAGGGTGTGGTGACACTCTGGTACTGGCGCGCACACACACACACACACACACACACACACACACACACACACACACACACACACACACATTGACGGTTGAGAGGCGGGACCAAAGAGCCAGAGCTCAACCCCCGCAAACACAACTAGGTGAGTACAACTAGGTGAGTACACCCACACACACACACACCCACACCAGGAAGCAGCCCATACCAGCTAACTCCCAGGTACCTATGCTGCAAGGTAACAGTAACAGGGAAATCAGGGATAAAGAAACTGTCCATTTTTCCTCGCCATCGCCTGGAATCGAACCCGAGCCACAGGATTACGAGCCCCGCGCGCTGACCACTCAGCTACCAGCGTGTGTGTGTGTGTGTGTACTGACCTAGAGGTGCTGGCAGGGGTGACTGCCAACGTTCACAAGCAGGTGAGAGGAAGTTTTACACCTGTTGATTGTGTCGTCAATTAACAGGTGTAAATAAAGGCCACGTGGATGGGCTCTTGCCCCACACCGACCTTCCCTCTCCCCTGCCCCCCCCCCCTACCCCTAGTTCCCTGCCCCCCATCCCCCCCCCCCAGCAAGGCCGCCCCCCATTCCTAGCCCCCCCAGCTCTCCATCCTCCTCCCCCCCACCCCCTCTTCTTCCACTTGGGTGTGTGTGTGTGTGTGTGTGTGTGTGTGTGTGTGTGTGTGTGTGTGTGTGTGTGTGTGTGTGTGCGTGTGTGTGTGTGTGTGTGTGTGTGTGTGTATGTGTGCGTGTGTGTGTGTGTGTGTGTGTGTGTGTGTGTGTGTGTGTGTGTGTGTGTGTGTGTGTGTGTGTGTGTGTGTGTGTGTGTGTGTGTGTGTGTGTGTGTGTGTGTGTGTGTGTGTGTGTGTGTGTGTGTGTGTGTGTGTTTGGCTTCCTTGTCCGTGCGCTCCAGCGCCATCTTTAAATGCCTGCGGGTCTGAAGCCTCGTGTGTTTGTTTTTGTTAATCTCTCTCTGATTGTTTCGTGATTTTTCCCCTTTACTCGCCTTCTTCTTCTTCGTTCACTTGTTGCGTAACTTTCATTTTCACCTTTTTGTGGTTCTGTCTCTTCCTCTTTCTCCAACGTCGCCACGTCTGTCTGTTTGTCTCTCTCTCTCTCTCTCTCTCTCTCTCTCTCTCTCTCTCTCTCTCTCTCTCTCTCTCTCTCTCTCTCTCTCTCTCTCTCTCTCTCTCTCTCTCTCTCTCTCTCTCTCTCTCATATATTTGATGAGAGTTGTGTATATATTTTATACAAGTTGTAGTGTGGTGGTGTTGATGTGTTGGAGGGGCGGGGGAGACTTCCCTGGCCTCTGTTGTCCTGCTCCTGCTCCCTCCCTCACTCTTGCTCTTGTGTCTCTCCCACCACACCTGCTGCCACCACACCTGCTGGCTCCCAGACCTGCTGTGAGTACAGAACTGAACACAGGACAGTACTGTGAGAGAGAGAGAGAAAGAGTGTGTGTGGGTACTCACCTATTTGCTCATCTATTTGTGTTTGCGGGGGTTAAGCTTTGGCTCTTTGGCCCCGCCTCTCAACTGTCAATCAACTGGTGTACAGGTTCCTGGGTCTATTGGGCTCTATCATATCTACACTTAAAACTGTGTATGGAGTCAGCCTCCACCACATCACTGCTTAATGCATTCCATTTGTCAACCATTCTGACACTAAAAACGTTCTTTCTAATATCTCTGTGGCTCACTTGGGCGCTCAGTTTCCACCTGTGTCCCCTTGTGCGTGTGCCCCTTGTGTTAAATAGCCTGGCTTTATCAACCCTGTCGATTCCCTTGAGAATCTTGAATGTGGTGATCATGTCCCCCCCTAACTCTTCTGTCTTCCAGCGAAGTGAGGTTTAATTCCTGTAGTCTCTCCTCGTAACTCATACCCCTCAGCTCGGGTACTAGTCTGGTGGCAAACCTTTGAACCTTTTCCAGTTTATATCTAGTCAAGGATAAGACTAAACTCCATGCTGGGGCTGCATACTCCAGGATTGGCCTGACATTTGTGGTATACAAAGTTCTGAATGATTCCTTACACAGGTTTCTAAAGGCAGTTTTTATGTTGGCCAGCCTGGCATATGCCGCTGATGTTATCCTCTTGATATGGGCTGCAGGAGACAGGTCTGGTGTGATATCAACCCTCAGGTCTTTTTCTCTCAGACTCTTGTAGAATTTCATCTCCGAAATGATACCTTGTATCAAGTCTCCTGCTCCCTACACTTATCTTCATTACATTACATTTGTTGGGGCTAAACTCTAACAACCTTTTGTTCGACCATTCCTGCAGCTTGTCCAGGTCTTCTTGAAGCCTCAAGCAGTCCTCCTCTGTCTTAATCCTTCTCATAATTTTGGCATCTTCAGCAAACATTGAGAGGAATGAGTCTATACCTTCCGGGAGATCATTTACGTATATCAGAAACAGGATAGGACCGAGTACTGAGCCCTGTGGGACTCCACTGGTGACTTCACGCCAATCTGAGGTCTCACCCCTCACTTTAACTCTCTGCTTCCTATTGCTTAGGTACTCCCTTATCCACTGGAGCGCCCTACCAGTTACTCCTGCCTGTTTCTCTAGCTAATGCATCAGCCTTTTATGGGGTACTGTGTCAAAAGCTTTCCGACAGTCCAAGAAAATGCAGTCCGCCCAGCCTCCTCTTTCTTGCTTAATCTTTGTCACCTGGTCGTAGAATTCTATTAAGCCAGTAAGGCAAGATTTCTCCTCCCTGAACCCATGTTGGCGATTTGTCACGAAGTCCCTTCTCTCCAGATGTGTTACTAGGTTTTTTCACGATCTTCTCCATCACCTTGCATGGTATACAAGTCAAGGACACTGGCCTGTAGTTCAGTGCCTCTTGCCTGTCGCTCGTCTTTGTATATTGGGACCACATTCGCCGTCTTCCATATTTCTGGTAGGTCTCCCGTCTCCAGTGACCTACTATACACTATGGAGAGTGGCAAGCAAAGTGCCTCTGCACACTTTTTCAGTACCCATGGTGAGATCCCGTCTGGACCAACAGCCTTTCTAACATCCAGATCCAGCAGGTGTCTCTTGACCTCCTCACTCGTAATTTCGAACCCTTCCAAGGCCGGCTGGTTTACTGCCCTTTCTCCTAGCAGAGTGACCTCACCTTGTTCTATTGTGAAGACCTCCTGAAACCTATTGTTGAGTTCTTCACACACCTCTTTGTCATTCTCTGTATACCTGTCCTCGCCTGTTTTAAGTTTCACTACCTGTTCTTTCACTGTTGTTTTCCTGCTGATGTGACTGTGGAGTAGCTTTGGTTCGGTCTTGGCTTTGTTTACTATATCATTTTCATAACTTTTCTCTGCTTCTCTTCTCACCTAACATACTCATTCCTGGTTCTCTGGTATCTCTCTCTCTCTGCTTTCTGGGGTTCTGTTATTCCGGAAGTTCCTCCACGCCCTTTTGTTCAGTACCTTTGCTTTGTGTGTACTCACCTATTTGTGCTTGCGGGGGTTGAGCTCTGGCTCTTTGGTCCCGCCTCTCAACTGTCAATCGACTGGTGTACAGGTTCCTGAGCTTACTGGGCTCTTATCATATCAACATTTGAAACTGTGTATGGAGTCAGCCTCCATCACATCACTGCCTAATGTGTGTATGTGTGTGTGTGTCAAAGAGCCTGTATTTGCCTTCTAAGTACAATTCCGTGAATATTTGATATATGGGGATTATGTGTATGTGAAAGGTAAGAGGATCAAGAGGAGGGAGTGTAGTAGCAGCCAGCAGAGGTACGAGGGGGCGACCCGCCGCCACCACCACTCCCTCTGGGTCTGCCCGCCACAGTGTAAACAATGGAGAAAAAATGCCCCCCAACCCTCAGCCCCAGATGAAGGCCGTCTTCCTGGTGGTGCAGGGGCACGCCACGTTGGTCTTGGCCCCCCTCAGCGGCCTTCAGGCCCCGGAAGATCTGGGGGACGTCAACCACTCACTCACTCACCTGCACTCTCACCTCTCTCTCTCTCTCTCTCTCTCTTACAGTACACACACACACACACACACACACACACACACACACACACACACACACACACACACACACACACACACACACACACACACACACAAGAGTAACGGGAGACATGATCACTGCCTACAAAATCCTCAGGGGAATTCACAAGGTAGACAAGGATAAACTATTCAACACGGGCGGTACGCGAACAAGGGGACACAGGTGAAAACTGAGTACCCACATGAGCCACAGGTACGTTAGAAAAAACTTTTCCAGTGTCAGAGTAGTTAACAAATGGAATGCATTAGGCAGTGGTGTGGTGGAGGCTGACTCCATACACAGTTTCAAATGTAGATATGATAGAGCCCAGTAGGCTCAGGAATCTGTACATCAGTTGATTGACAGTTGAGAGGCGGGACCAAAGAGGCAAAACTCAACCCCCGCAAGCACAACTAGGTGAGTACACACACAGGTACCGTAGTATGGAGGTGGCCGCAGTACAGGGGATGTCCTCACACACACACGATGGCCAATTACAACTTAATCCAACTGATTACATTCGAACTTTTCTTGTGTTCGAATCGCACCTCTCTAAATTTTTCACCTAATAAATGACAATAGAGAATTTGTTTGTTTACAAAGTACATTACAATCGAGCGATGGCTCTTTGAGGGTCGATGGTAGCTTAGAGGAGCCCAGGGTTATCTTGAGATGATTTCGGGGCTTTTTTTTGTTAGTGTCCCCGCGGCCCGGTCCTCGACCAGGCCTCCACCCCCCCGGAAGCAGCCCGTGACAGCTGACTAACTCCCAGGTACCTATTTTACTGCTAGGTAACAGGGGGCATAGGGTGAAAGAAACTTTGCCCATTGTTTCTCGCCGGCGCCTGGGATCGAACCCGGGACAACAGGATCACAAGTCCAGCGTGCTCCCTGACGCCCGTCCCTAGCTCCCTCGTTATTATAATATTGGT